GGCTTTGTTGTAGAGCTTGAAGTTGGGGAGCATAATCCTCCTAGCTTTATTCTTCCTTCTCACTATTGCCTTGGCTATCCATCATCTTTTGTGGTTCCATATGAATTTTAGAACAATTTGCTCTAGTTCATTGAAGAATGCTGTTGGTATTTTGATAGGAATTGCATTGAATCTGTACATTGCTTTAGGCAGGATGGCTGTTTTATTCCTATCCATGAGCACGAGATGTGTTTCCATTTATTTGTATCTTCTTTAATTTCTCTCATGAGTGTCTTGTAGTTCTCAGGATATAGGGCTTTCACTTCCTTGGTTAGGTTTATTCCTAGGTATTTTATTGTTTTTGATGGAACTGTGAATGGAATTGTTTTCCTGATTTCTCATTCTGCTAGTTTGTCATTAGTGTATAGGAATTCCACAGATTCTGGGTATTAATTTTGTATCCTGCAACTTTACTGAATTCAGATATTAGATTTAGTAGTTTTGGAGTGGATTCTTTAGGGTTTTTTATGTACAATATCATGTCATCTGCAAATAGTGACAGTTGAACTTATTCCTTGCCAATCTGGATGCTTTTAATTCTTTGTGCTGTCTGATTTCCATGGCTAGGACCTCCAATAATATGTTGAAAGAAGTGGGGAGAGTGGGCATCCTTGTCTTGTTCTCAATCTTAAAGGAAAAGCTTTCAGTTTCTTGATGTTAAGTATAATGTTGGCTGTGGGTTTGTCATATATGGCCTTTATTATGTTGAGGTACTTGCCCCCTATACCCATTTTGTTGACAGGTTTTATCATAAATGGACAGTGAATTTTGTTGAATGCTTTTTCAGCATCTGTGGAGATAATCATGTGATTTTTTTATCCTTCTTTTTGTTGATGTGGTGGATGATGTTGATGGATTTTTGAATGTCATACCATCCTTGCATTCCTGGAATAAATCTTACTTGATCATGATGGATGATCTTTTTGATGTATTTTTGAATTTGGTTTGCTAACATTTTGTTGAGTATTTTTGTGTCTCTGTTCATCAGGGATATTGGTCTGTAATTTTCTTTTTTTGTGGTTTCTTTCCCTAGTTTTGGTATTAGAGTGATGTTGGCCTCATAGAATGAGTTTGGAAGTATTCTCTCTTCTACTCTTTGGAAAACCTTAAGGAGGATGGGTATTAGGTTTTCACTAAATGTTTGATACAATTCAGCGGTGAAGCCATCTGGTCCAGGGATTCTGTTCTTAGGTAGTTTTTTGATTACCAATTCAATTTCATTGCTGGTAATTGGTCTGTTCAGATTTTCTGTTTCTTTCTGGGTCAGCTGTGGAAAGTTGTATTTTTCTAGAAAGTTGTCCTTTTCTTCTAGGTTATCCAGTTTTTTGGCATATATTTTTCATAGTATTCTGTAATAATTCTTTGTATTTCTGTGTTGTCTGAAGTGATTTCCCCTTTCTCATTTCTGATTCTGTTTATGTGTGTAGACTCTGTTTTCTTCTTGATAAGTCGGCTAGGGATTTATCTATTTTGTTTATTTTCTCAAAGAACCAGCTTCTGATTTCATTGATTCTATTGTTTTATTCTTCTCGATTTTATTTGTTTCTGCTCTGATCTTTGTTAATGTCCTCTTTCTACTGAATGTGGGCTTCATTTGTTCTTCTTTTTCTAGTTTCGTAAATTGTGAGTTTAGACTGTTCATATGGGATTGTTCTTTCCTGAGGTAGGCCTGTATAGCAATATATGTCCCTCTTAGCATGGCCTTCGTTGTGTTCCACAGTGAATGCGTTGTTGAATTATTGCTCTCTTTTGTCCATATATTGCTTGATGTCTGTTTTTATTTGGTCATTGATCCATTGGTTTTTTAGGAGCATGTTGTTAAGCCTCCGTATGTTTGTGGGCTTTTTCTTTTCTTTGCATAATTTATTTCTAGTTTCATGCCTTTGTGATCTGAGAAACGGGTTAGTACAATTTCGATCTTTTTGAATTTACTGAGGCTCTTTTTGTATCCTAGTATATGATCTATTTTTGAAAATGTTCCATGTGCAGTTTAGAGTAATGTTTATCCTGCTGCTTTTAGAGGGAGTGTTCTGTAGATGTCTGTTAGGTCCATCTGTTCTAATGTGTTGTTCAGTGCCTTTGTCTCCTTACTTATTTTCTGTCTGATTGACCTGTGCTTTGAAGTGAGTGTTGTGTTGACGTCTCCTAAAATGAATGTTAGTATTTGTTTCACGTATGTAGGTGCTCCTCTGTTAGGTGCATAGATATTTATAATAGTTATATCTTCTTGTTGGACTGACCCCTTTATCATTATGTAATTAATGTCCTTCTTTGTCTCTTGTGACTTTCTTTGTTTTGGAGTCTATTTTGTCTGATACAAGTACTGCAACACCTGCTTTTCTCTCCCTGTTAGTTGCATGAAATATTTTATTCCATCCCTTCACTTTTATTCTGTTTTATGTCTTTGGGTTTAAAGTGCATCTCTTGTAGGTAGCATATAGATGGGTCTTGTTTTTCTATCCAATCCGTGACTCTATGTCTTTTGATTGGTGCATTCAGTCTGTTTACATTTAGGGTGATTATCAATAGGTATGTACTTATTGCCATTGCAGGCTTATGTTCGTGGTTACCAAAGTTTCAAGGGTAACTTCCTTACTATGTTACACTCTTACTTACCTCACTTAGTATGCTATTACAGACACAATCTTAAGTTTCTTGTTTTTTTCTCCTTTTTCTTCCTCCTCCATTCTCTATTAGGTATCATATTCTGTACTCTTTGTCTATTCCATGTCTGACTTTTGGGGTAGTGATTTGATTTTCAGTCTGCTTAGTAATACTGTTCTACTTTCTTTACTGTGGTTTCATATTCTCTCATGACAGCTAGTTAGCCTTAGGAACACTTCCATCTATAGCAGTCCCTCCAAAATGCATCATAGAGATGGTTTGTGGCAGGTAAATTCTCTCAAGTTTTGCTTGTTTGGGAATCATTTAATCCCTCCTTCAAATTTAAATAACAATCTTGCTGGGTAGAATATTCTTGCTTGGAGGCCCTTCTGTTTCATTACATTAAATATATCACGCCTCTCCCTTCTGGCCTGTAAGGTTCTGCTTAGTCTGATGATAACTTGATGGGTTTTTCTTTACATGTGATCTTTTTTCTCTCTCTGGCTGCTTTTAACAGTCTGTCCTTATCCTTGATCTTTATGATTTTAATTATTTTATGTTTTGGTGTTGTCTTCCTTGGGTCCCTTCTGTTGGGAAATCTGTGCATCTCCGTGGCCTGAGAGACTATCTCCTCCAGATTGAGGAAGTTCTCAGCAATTACTTCATGAAAGACACTTTCTATCCCTTTTTCTCTCTCTTCTTCTTCAGGTATCCGTATAATATGAATATTGTTCCATTTGGTTTGGTCACACAGTTCTCTTCATATTCTTTCATTACTAGAGATCCTTTTATTTCTCTCTTGACTCAGCTTCTTTGTATTCCTTTTCTCTAATTTCTATACCTTTACCGTCTCTTCTACCTCATCTAATCTGTTGTTAAATCCCTCCATTTTATGTTTTCTGTTGTTTGTGGGATTTTGATTTGAACCAGGTTCCTTTGGCGTTTCATATTTGTAGGTGGTGCCCTCTAGTGCCCAGAAGCTTTACTCTGGAGCTGCTTAGCCCCCAGAGTGATGTTGAGTGTTGCAGGGGAGTGGTGCTCGTGCCTGTTGGGAGGATAGAGCTGTTTCCTGCTTCCCGGCTGCAGTGCCTGTTTCCACTGCCAGGGCCAGTGGGTCATGTGTGTAGGGGGAAGCCTCTATGGTTTGCACTTGTAGCTTCCCTGGGCAGGGCCTCCCTCTGGGTGGCCGAAGCAAGGACGTGTGCAGCTGGTTTGCATGCTGGTGCTGACCAGAAGGTGCAGCAGGCTGCATATCATGGTGGGGGGCCTCAGAGCTGTGTAGCCAGCCAAGGGGTTGGAGTGCCTGAAGCTCCTAAAAGTTCCCAACCTGCTGGGCTGAGTTCACCCAGACTATTTTGTCCACCTGTCCTTTCTCCCGAGCAGCAACTTCTGTGCAATCCTTGCCCCTTTAGCAGTCATCTCAGTGTTAGGAAGTCTCTCACACTGCCTGCCTTTCTTTTGTCCCAGAGTGGCCAGTTGTGGGTACGTTTTCCCCAAGCAGCTGGAATCTCTGTCTCTCCAAGTATTCTACCTGTCTTAGCTTTCCGGCCCTAGTAATCTTCATAGCACCATGCAATGTAGGTTTGTGCTCCCAAAGCAGATTTCCAGGACTGAGTGTTCAGCAGTCCTAGGCCTCCACCCCTTCCCCTATCTGTTTCTCTTCCTCCTGCCAATGAGATGGGGTGGGGAAAGGCCTTGGGTCCCTCTGAGTCATGGTTTTGGTACTTTACTCCTTTCCTTGAGGTCTGCTGTTTTCCCCAGGTGCCTTCTTTCCTGTTGCTCTTTCAGGATTAGATGTATTTGCTATATTTTCATATTATTTATGGTTTTGGGAGGAGGTTTCTTTCTCAGCTCTCACACCACTATCTTTAATGCTCATATTTTTTGAATGAGCCTTTTATTTCATCCACAATTTTTGTGCCTGTTCTGTCCTGGGCACCAAGCCTTAGAGATACATTAATACAGAAGAAAGTTCCTGACCTTATGTAGTTCATAATCTGTCAAGAGTAAATAGTGTAATTGCAACTTAGTATGAGAATTATTATATTAGAGAGAAACTGAGGGTGTGCGAAAATAGAGGAGACCTAATCCAACCAGAGTGTGGGCGGTCAGGGCAAATATCATTGATGGAATCCAGGCCAAATCTCAGAGGATGAGAAAGGGTTCCCAAACAAAGCCAGGAGATGAAACCTTTAAAGGACTTTTAAGCTTTGTCTTACTTCTTATATAATATATATTTGATTAAAGGTAAACAAGTGAAATTCATAGATTTTTTAAATTTTGATTTATTTGGTGGGGGGAAACATTATGAGATCAAACATTAATTAATTATAGTTTTTATTGTTCTTTTCTTTCAGGGACCAAAGGCAAAGCCTCTAAATATATTGTCTAAGAAATGGGGCTCTTTTTTTATTGATTCAATTCCAGGACTGGAAAATGCAGAAGACTCCTTGGTTTATACATGGTCTTGTAAGAGAATCAGTACTTACAGCACTATTGCAATTCCAAGTATTGAAGCTATAGCAGGTAAGGGGAGAAATACTTATAAAGTTTTACCTGTGACTAGACAGTAATGACCTTGCGTACTTGAATTCTCCCATTTAAAAAGGAGAAAATATTTCCATGATATAATTTTTTGATATTTACTTATTTATTTTTATTAAAGTATCATTGATACATGATCTTACGAAGGCTTCACATGAATAATATTGTGGTTTCAACATTCACCTGTATTATCAAGTCCTCACACCCACTGCCATTGCAGTCACTATCCATCAGCATAGTAAGATGCTGTAGAATCATTACTTGTCTTCTCTGTGCTGTACTGCCTTCCCCATGACCTTTCTATATTGTAATTGCTAATTATAGTGCCCCTTTGGATTTTTTTGTTTTAAGTCTGCTTGAAGACATAGGATAAGTGCAGGGAAAAATTACCAGGACAAGATGTTAAGGAGGCCAAATAAGGTGAACTTGACTTTGGGGGCTGGTTTTCCCATGGAGTGTTTGCTTATTGAGAGAGGACACCAGCAAAAGTGAGTGGGCCTTTGAGTAGCTTCATAAAACTCCTCACAGGCATAGAAAGTGAAGGATAGGGCCTGCCAAAAGAGAGGTGGACCTGGGAGACCGTCTCGTTCTATGTTGAGACCCTGAAGGAATTTACCTTAGGGTAAGGATGGTTGAAGCTCAGCTTCAAATCAGTGTAACCCCCAAAACTGTATTGCGAAGATCCTAGGTTGGGAATGCCCCAAGGCATCTGGTAGCAGTCAATGAATACTTTCTTTTGAGGAAGATAACGTAATTCTAGGACTCAAATTATTTCTAAAACAAATTGATATAAGGTTTAGCACATATGAAAAACAGCCAGGCACACAAGGATATGAGACTGTACCAACACAAATAGCCAAGTTTACTATGGTCAAGTACAGAAAACAAAGGAGTGAGAAACTTGATAGAGACAAAAAATCTGTATAAAGAATGGAAATTCTATAACTGAAATATTACAAAATCAAAATTAAGACTTCAATGGATTAGTTTAATAGCAGATCAGACTCAGTTGAAAAATGAATTAGTACATTAGAAAATAGGCCAAAACAAAATATCCAGAATGAAACATGAAGAGAGATGATGAAAGATAAAGAAGAGGGACTAAGAGACATAGGAAATACACCAAGAAGGAAATTTTCTGTAACTGGAATTCCAGATGATAATAAGCCAAAATCAATAGATTCAAACTGTCCAAAAATGTCCAAAGAATAAGCCAAAGGTTTAAGAAGCCTAAGGAACTTAGGCAAAATAAATATGTGAAACCTAAAAACAAAATAAAACAGCAATAGACTCATAGATGCTGAGAAGTGGCTGGTGGTTACCATGGGGGAGGGGTTGGGGTAGGTGAGATAAAATAGGAGAGAAGGGGATAAAGAACCACAAAATCTTAATCATAGCTTAAATTAGTCATGGGGATGAAAGTACGGCATAGAAAATAGTCAATAGTTCTGTAACATCTTGCTGTGGTGAGAAATAATAATTGTCACTAGTTGGGGAGAGGATTTAATGGTGTGTATAACTGTTGAATCGCTATGTGGTATACTTGAAACCAATATAATATTGTATAGCAACTATACTTAAATTTCAAAAACTTACCAACAAAAAAATCCCAAGTTAACTGCTAAAAACAGAAAGATAATTAAGAAATATTAAAAGTAGCCAGAGAATAAAGACAGATTGATTTCAAAGAAGTACTTCAAAAGGGTAAAAGTTAGAATGATATCTGACTTCTGCCATAAACAAAGAAGGGCAAAACACAATGGAATATAAATTGCTGAAAAGAAAATACCTGTCATTCTTGATAGAATTCTGTACCCAGTAAAGACATTATTAGGAACAGAAGAAAAATATTTATAGACAGACAAAAATGAAGAAAATGTATCTCCAGAAAAATGGCACTAAAGAAAATACTAAAAGGCGTTATTGTTCAGACAAAAGAAAGAATGATCTCTGATAGAAACCTGGAAGTGCAGGAAAGAATATACAGCAAGGGAAGGATAGATATATAAATAAATAAAGTGTTTATTGTTGGAAACAATATTTTAAAACCTGTGAGGTTTAGTTTAAGTAAAGAATTTTAGAGTGATTCTCAAGATGATGGTGTGAGTAGGGTGGTGGAAATCTCCTCCCAAAACCATATGTATTTTGAAAATACAGCAAATACAACTATTCCTAAAAGAGTGACCAGAAGATACGGTAACCAGCCAGGCTACACCTACATCTGCGAGAACTCATCATCTCATGAAAAGGGTAAGATCCAAAGCTGTGACCCAGTGGGACCCGAGCACTACCCCTACCCCAGCTAACCAGTGGAAGGAAAAGAATCAGAGTGGGGAGGGAGTGGAAGCACAGGACTGCTAAATAACCAGCCCTAGTAATCTGCACTGGGAGCAAAGACACATATTTCATGGTATACTGGATATTAGAAAAAAGGAAAAGCAAAATCCGAGATAAGACTATGAACAGGTTCTGCCCTAGGACAAAGGAAGAGTGGACACTTTTAAAGTCTTAAAAGGACAAGGGTTTAACACGTGGACAAAATCGTCCTGGCACACTCAGCCCAGGAGGCTGGGAACTTTAAGGAACTTCAGGCGCCCTGACCCCCTGGATAGCAAAGCAGCTCCGAAGCCCCTCACAGCCATAAGCAAAGTGCTATTCATTCCTCCCAGCTGGCACTGCAAGCAACCAGCTAACCCGCCATTGCCGGGGAGCAGCCCCACCCACAGCAACCACACAGAAGCTTCTCCAAGCACACAGTTAACTGGGCCAGACCCAGAGGCTACTGCCTGCCCACAGCTGACCAGCACAGACAACAGAGACCAGTGCAGAGTCCGGAAGGTACAAAGGGGCTTTATTCTCGTACACACGCTGTTCGCCTGCAACCCTCACCAGTGCCCTGGGCCATCCCAAGGGCTGCCCAGCCCACGGGCAGCTCAGGATTAACCCAAAGGCTGCCACCTGCACGCTGCTGACTGACACAGTCAATGGAAGCCAGCACAGAGTCCGGGAAGCACGTAGGGGCTCTGTTCCTGCGCCAAACACGTGCTGCTCACTGGCAGCCACCCCCGGTTGCCTTAGGCCATCTCAAGGGCCTCCCTGCCCACAGCAACTCAGGGGATTAACCCAGAGGCTGCCCCCTGCACCCGACTGACTGTCATAGGCAGAGGAAACCGGCATGGAGTCTGAGAAGCACCTGGGGCTCTGTTCTCATGGCAGACACCTGCTGCTCACCTGCAACTTTAGGCCATCCTGAGGGCCATCCTGCCCATGGCAGCTTGGGATCAATCCACAGACTCTTCCCCGTGTGCGGTTGCCCAACACAGGCAGCAGAGACCAGCAGAGAGTCCAGGAAGCACAAGGAGGCTCTGTTCCCATGGGAGAACACACTACTCACCTGCAAACCCACCAGTGCCCTAGGCCATCCCAAAAGCGGTGCCATCCATGTCAGCTCAGGGGATTAACCCAGAGGCTGCTCCCTGTATGTGGTGGACTGGCAGAGGCAGAGCGGAGACAGGCAAGGCAACCAGCAAGAAGAAAGGGACTTTATTCTCCCAGCTGACATATGCCTCACTTGCCGGTGATCACTTCCATCGCCGTGAAAAGGCAGAACCTTGTTCAGTCCAAAATCCATCAGACACCAGAGAGAGGGCCTGCTGATACCGAAATCACCCATCTTACTGGAAAAGAAATCAAAATAAAAGTCATAAGCATGCTGATGGAGCTACAAAGAAGCATGCAAGAGCTAAGGGATGAATTCCTGAAGAGATAACATAAATGAAACAAACAATGGAAGAATTTAAGAGCAGAGTGGATGAGGTGCAAGAGACTGTTAATGGAACAGAAATAGGAGAACAGGAATACAGAGAAGATGAGATAGAGAGAGATAAAAGGATCTCTAGGAATGAAAGAATATTAAGAGAACCGTGTGACCAAACCAAACGGAAGAATATTCACATTATAGGGGTACCAGAAGAAGAAGAGAGATAAAAAGGGATAGAAAGTGTCTTTGAAGAAATAATTGCTGAAAATTCCCCAATCTGGGGAAGGAAATAGTCTCTCAGACCATGGAAGTTCACACATCTCCCAACACAAAGAACCAAAGGAGGAGAACACCAATACATATAATAATTAAAATGGCAGATCAAAGACAAGGACAGAGTATTAAAAGCAGCCAGAGAGAGAGAAAAGATCACCTACAAAGGAAAAAACATGAGGCTGTCATCAGACTTCTCAGCAGATACTTTAGAGGCCAGGAAACTATGTCATGATATACTCAATGCAATGAAACAGAAGGGCCTCGAACCAAGAATACTATATCCAGCAAGATTATCATCTAAACTTGAAGGAATGATTAAACAATTCCAACATAAAAGTTGTGGGAATTTACCTCCCACAAACCATCTCTACGGTATTTTTTTAAGGGACTGCGCTAGATGGAAGTACTCCTAAAGCTAAATAGATGTCACCAGAGAAAATAAAAATACAGTAAAGAAAGCAGACCAAGCAGATACTAACTGAAGGCAAAATAAAATCAGCTATCCACAAAATCAGTCAAGGGAAACACAAAAGAGAACAGATTAAAACAACTAACATATAAAGAGCGGAGGAAGAAGACAAAGAAGGGAGAGAAATAAAGAATCATCAGACTGTTTGTAACAGCCTAATAAGTGAGTTAAGGTACATGGGGAGATAGTAAAGAAGCTACCCTTGAACCTTTGGTAACCATGAGTCCAAAACATGCAATGGCAATCAGTACATATCTATTGATAATCACCCTAAATGTAAATGGTCTGAATCCACCAATAAAAAGACAGAGTTATGGAATGGATAAAAAAGCAAGACCCATCTATATGCTGCCTACAAAAGACTCATCTGAAACCCAAAGACATACACAGACTAAAAGTGAAAGGATGGAAAAAGATATTTCATGCAAACAATAGGGAGAAAAAAAGCAGGTGTTGCAGTACTTGTGTCAGACAAAA